GGTGTATTCTTTTCTTAAAGTAGTTTTTACTTTATTGTCATTTGTCAATCATAAAATGTTTTCTAAAAAACACTTATCTGGTAGTGAAAAACGAAAAAGACGAAAAATTGTTGAGGCTTCTTTACAAAAAGAGAAAGGGTCTATGGTTAAATTTTTAAAACCAATGAATTCTAATGAAGAAAATATTAATTTGAATGAACACACTAACTTAAATGAAAATGTTGCTAGTGTTAATGAAGAAAATATTAATTTAAATGAACATGATAATAATTTGAATGAAGAAAATATTAATTTAAATCAACATGATACTAATATAAATGAAGAAAATACTAATTTAACTGAATCTATAGATATTTTTGACCCTAGAAATTGGGATTCTCTTGATATTAAATCAAGAGATATTTTAATTGAAAAAGGGCCAATAAGAGAAATGAATCTTGTGTTTCCTAAAGATAAATTTTCTAGACATTTTTCTTATGCATTTTATACTAGAAAGTTAAATAATGGTTTGTCACGTGATCGAAAATGGTTAGCATACAATAAAAAAATTAGATAAAGTTTTTTGTTTTTGTTGTAAAATATTTAAATGTACTAATCAAAAACGTTTTTTAACAAATGAAGGATATAATGATTGGAAACATCTTAGTGAGAGACTTAAAGAACATGAAAATAGTAATGAACATTTTGTTTGTATGAGTAATTGGAATGAAGCAAAACTAAGATTAGATAAAAAACCTTACAATTGATAACGAATTACAACAAGAAATAATAAAAGAAAAAGAACGTTGGAGACAAGTATTAAGAAGAATAATAGCGGCTGTGAAATTCTTATCTAAATATAATTTGGCTTTTCGAGGGTCTAATGAAAAACTTTTTCAAGATAACAATGGTAACTTTTTAGGAGTAATCCAAATGATGGTTGAATATGATGGTATAATGCAAGATCATATAAGAAGAATTGAAAATAATGAAACTCATTATCATTATCTTGGCTATAAAATTCAAAATGAACTAATTTCTCTTTTAGGTGACACGGGTAGAAATTCTATCATTAAAATAGTTAAAGAAGCAAAATATTTTTCTATAATTCTTGATTGTACTCCCGATGTGAGTCATCAAGAGCAAATGACTTTGATTGTACGATGTGTGAATTTTTCTTCTAAAAAAATACAAGTTGTTGAATATTTTTTAGAATTTTTAAAAGTAGATGATACTTCTGGTTTGGGACTTTTGAATGAATTATTAGATGCATTGAAATTGTTAGATCTAAATGTGGATGATATAAGGGGTCAAGGTTATGATAATGGGTCTAATATGAAAGGAAAACACCAAGGGGTTCAAAAAAGAATGCTTGAAATTAATCTTAGAGCTTTATATATGCCTTGTGCTTGCCATAGTCTTAACCTTACGGTTAGTGATGTGACACTTTCTTGTGAAAAAGCTGTTTCATTTTTTGGAATCGTGCAACGCCTTTATACTAGGGATGTCAAAATGTCCCGTGGGACCCCGTTCCCGTGAGGGTCCCATCCCGTTTGGGGGAAAATTTTCAAAAAAATCGAGGGCGGGGGCAAGGTTAACCCCCATTTTAATTTCGAGGGCGGGGGCGGGGGTGGAAAATCCCGTCCCGAAACCCCCATGGGGACCCCGTTAATAAATTACACATATATTTACATATATTAATTATATAAATATCATAAAAAATAACATGATTTTGAGCTTCCAAAATTCATCAAAAAACATGTTTTTAAGTTGTTAGTATAATGTTTTTAAGATGTCATAACTTTTTTATTTTTAACATGTAAAATTCTACTACAAATAATTATTTGTTACCTAAAAAATATCTTCTTTTAGCCTAAATAATAACATCTTTTAGCCTAAAAAAAGGCAGCCCAAAATCAATCGAGGGCGGGGGCGGGGGTAATAAAGGGGATTCCGGGGCGGGGGCGGGGGTAGGAAGGCTGAACATTTCGGGGGCGGGGGCGGGGACGGGGGAACGGGAAAATTTAAGGGGCGGGGGCGGGAGATGCACTCTCCGCCCCGTTTGCCCCTATTGGCATCCCTACTTTATACATTATTTTCTAGTTCTACTAAAAGATGGAAAATATTGTTAGATAATGTTCCAACTTTAACCTTAAAATCATTATCTAATACTCGTTGGGAAAGTAGGATTAAAAGTATAAAAGCAATTAGATTTGAAGCTCCTCAAATAAAAGTTGTTTTGCTAAAATTAAGTAAAGCATGTGATGACCCAAAGTCAAAAAGTGAAGCTAAAAGCTTACTTAAATCTTTTGGAAATTTTGAATTTTTAGTTGGTATGGTTATTTGGTACGAAGTTTTATTTGTTATAAATATTGTAAGTAAAAAGTTGCAATCTAAATCTATTTGTATTGACACTACTATTAACCAAATAGAAAATATTATGAAGTTTTTTGAAAAATATAGAAATGAAGGTTTTACATCAAGTATGAATATTGCTAAAAATATTGCACTTGATATGGGTGTAGAGCCAACATTTCCATCAAAACGTCGTATTGTTAGAAAAAAGGAATTTGATGAAAGTGATCATGAAGAAGAAACATAATCGGTTGAAGAGTATTTAAAAGTTAATTATTTTTTGGTTGTTGTGGATATGGCAATTGTTTCATTAAAAAATAGATTTGAACAATTAAAAAACTTTGAAAGTATTTTTGGGGTTTTAAATGATTCAAAGAAATTAAAGTCATTAAGTGAAAGTGAACTTAAAGAAAGTTGTATAAAGTTTGCTACTACTTTTACTAAAGATAATGTTTTCGATGTGGATTCAAGTGAACTTTTTTCAGAATTGAAAGTGTTGAAAATGACTTTACCTAATGATATAATTTCTGCTGTTGAAATTTTGGATTATGTTAAAGCTGTTGATTGTTACCCAAATACTTTTATTGCATATAACATTTTGCTAACCATTCCTGTCACTGTTGCATATGCGGAGAGAAGTTTTTCAAAGTTAAAGTTATTGAAGAATTATCTAAGATCGTCGATGTCGCAAGAAAGGTTAAACGGATTGGCAATGTTATGTATAGAGAAAGACATGTTAGATAAAATTGATTTGGATAACATTATTAATGATTTTGCATCTAGAAAGGCTAGGAGAAATATTTTCCTGTAAATTAGTGGTTTTTGTAATGTTGTGACCATATTTATGTTTTTTTGATATTAATAGTGAATTTTATAGCATTCTATTTCGAATTAATTTTTATTATATTTATGACTTTGGGGGCCCATTTTTTATTTTTGCCATGGGCCCACAATATCTTTGGACCGGCCCTGATCCAACCCCGGCTCTTCTTCAATTTTCTTCCATCACCACTGCACGTTTTATTACCACCATGTTTATAACGTATAGAAAAGAAAAGAAAAAAAATGCTTGCTTTGTTCATCTCTGCTTTGTTTAACCATTCAAAAAAATTGGTTGCAAAAATTAGTGTTCTGGATTGAAATCATTTGCAACCACACCATCCAACACACAAACTGCATCATTCAACCTCCCAACATTACAAAACCCATTGATATTGAAGAAAATGCAAAGTATCAAGACTCCTTTTAGCTTATACTGCTTTTTAGGATAATAGAAGGGTTCTCATCTAATAGCTGTCTGTCAAAGATGAAACCTCATCCATCTTCCCATTTTCAAATGATCCCTTAGTAAAGATATTGAAACTAATGATATTTATTCAATTAATTTTCTCAATGAGATCCACATAAGAAAGAATTCATTAACCTTTCTAGCACGACAATACTTATTGATCCAAAAATTAAGACAATATTTAACCATATAAAACCACACAATTGAACCATATGAAATTGCAAAATAAATAAAAAATAAAAAATAAAATCAAAATAAAAATCAAAGATAAAATTGTAGATGGGTGTTTTCCAAAATTTTCTTTTAAGTGAAACTTTTTTAAAATCACCAAAACCAATTTAAAAATTTTGTTTCAATTTATTACAAAAGATGACCTTGAAGTAAGAAAAGAACTAACTACATGCTCATATTCCTTCTTGTAGGTAAACATTTAAAGCCCAATTAAATCTGGCCCAATTAAATGATTAACAAGAGTCGACACGTAGGACTATAGGAGCCTACCAACGATGAGAACACACAAGAAAAAAAAAACAATGATTTCCGATCCAAAGACTATAAAAGGATAAAAATTGTGGTTTTCAAAAATTTGTTGTCCATTTCCCGTGTTAAATTTTCTTTTTTACCTTTCCAGATATGTCAAATGACTTTTTTTTTTATATAAGAAACAGCAAAATTATATTAAAATGAACCCCAACTAGTAAGAAACTAGAGGGAGCAGGAACAGAAAAAGAAAAAAGACATACAGATACTAGTGGTAAGTAAAGAAAAATATATAGGAAAACTAGGAAAAATGGAAAGGAGATGATGACCACACGTTCCATTCACATAAACCGCCTTTTCCTCTGCATTTGATCCAGAGATACACCAAAGATTTTATCTGCTCAGCTCCGCAAAAGGTACTGATAAATTTCAGATTAAAAGTCCGATCATTTCTATATTTCCAGAGGCTCCATATAAGCCCGTAGCATATCATCGTGAGCTTTTTTTTTCTTTTTTGAACACCGACCCCAGCTTGTAGCAAAACATATTAGATCCCTGACATTGTGAAATGTTTGGTGCTTGATGCAACACCAGTCAAATATTTTGTCTCTTATTGCACTCGCATACGGGCATGTTACTAGGATGTGATCGGCACATTCGTCACTAACAAAGCAAGCACCACAACATGTCAAGTCGAGCTCCACACCCCGTGATCTTAGAGCCATCATAGAAGGGATTTTTTTTGTAGTACTCTCCAAATAAAGAAGTTTACCTTGATCGGTGCATCCCTGTGCCATAGCATAGGTGGTAGTATCTGACTTGGAACAGATTTTTTGTCGGTTAACCTCCGTAGTGCCCCAACCGTATAGCGACCATCTACATCAAGTCTACTTTTCCATTAATCACACCCGCTCGCCAAGTTTACCGTGGACAGTTCATTCGTTAGGTTGTCCAAATCCTCGGATAGTCCAAATTCAACAGGGCAAGAATTCCAATGACCTACAAAACAGCCGTCAATGATTCTATCCGCTACATTACATCTTTTCCTTGTCTCCAGGTTGAACAGGTCGGGGTATTTGTTCTTCAATTGGTCTCCATCGGTCCATTTGTCATACCAGAACTGGGTGTTGTCACCGGATCTGAGCTGTAGTTCGAACACATCCCCTATTTCCAGGTCACGCCTCTTGAGATCCTTCTTTATGGTTGCAATGTTATGCCACATGCCATTGATGTACCTGCTAGAAAAATAATTGTGAGGTTTATTGTATAAGTTGTGTATACCTTTTATCGTGCGCCCCCATAGTGAGTCCCCCTCTTTTTTCATACGCCACCACCATTTGACTATTAGGCTGACATTCATCGCGCGTATTGATCCTACGCCAAGCCCACCATCAGATTTTGAAGCTATTACTTTATCCCATGCCACCCAGTGTATTTTCCGTTTATCTTCATCTCCGCTCCAAAGGAATCTGCGTCTAAGTTGTTCCAGAGTCTCGGTGACCGCCACCGGTGCTGTGAACAATGAGAAGTAGTAAGTGGGAAGATTGCCTAGAACGGAGGTGATCATTATCAGTTGACCACCAAAGGAGAGGGATTTCGATTTCCATGATGATTATTGGAATGCAAATTTGTCGATTATTGGTTTCCAGTTTTTTATAAGATTAATGTTCGCGCCAACAGGGACACCGATATATTTGAAGGGAAAAGATCCTGCTTCACATCCTAAAATACTTATCCTCTCAACAACTATATCTATAGTTTTTATTAAAAGAAAAAATTACATAACACACGTTTAATGTAAATATCAATCAATTTATACAAAAAACATGATCATAAAAAATGTGGTGTAGATAAACCCTTCCTAAATGGTCAAGTCCCATCACGCATTAGATAACATGTTTGATAATGCCTTATCACGGGTGGTCATCCAACCAAACATTTTTTGATATTGATTTTGATTTATGCTATTCTTAATTTTGTGGTATTAGGTAGCTTTTTATGTATCGTTTTGTCTAACAACGAAAGCATGATTTGATACATAGGTTTAGTATAAGTGTTTTTTTCCCTTTACTGATGATAGATATTTAATACAAGGGAAAACGAAAAGGGTAATATAATTTTAATTTTATATACGTTTAGTCCTTACTGTTGTTTTTTATTTTTTTTTATTTTTTATTTTTTCTAAAATAAGCTCTCGAACTTATTGATTTTATACACATTTAGTTTTTATAACTGACTACTCCAGATTAAGTATTCAATTTGTACATATTTAGTCTTTAATGCTTGTTTATTTTTTGTTTATTTTTTTTTGCAAAATAAGTTTTCGTTGTTTTTGTATCCATTCAATCCTGCTGATGAGTTTTTCAGGTTTTCCTATCGTGACATCTTACGTGAGACAATTATCAATGGTGTGTTTTCATACGTGGCTAGTCTAAAAAGTGGAATTATGTGTTACTTGTCTTGGTTTAATTAATAGCATTTTACTTTTGTTAGTAACTATTATAGTACAATACAAACTATATTTATTACCGATACAAATTTCATTCAATAGCAATACCAACTATATTGCATTAGGTGAATAAAATACAATAGTGATAATAATTTTAATTGTTGGAAATAGTGTCTATATTCACCATAGTTGGTAATATTACTGTTAATAATAAGAGTAAATTACACGAATCGTCCCTCGTGCATATGCCAAAATACGCGTTTGGTCCCTATTTTCAAAAATTAACTCGGATAGTCCCTTGTTTGGTTAAAAGTTGTATGTTTCATCCCTCATTAGTTTAAATCTACACGCTTCATCCCTTGCGAGATTTCAAAAGACTATATTGCCCTTACTTATTTTCTTTTTTGAATTTCGTTTTAATTGTTTATCTTTTTATAAATTATAATATATAAAAAATAAACGGGCCCTTCACCATTACATACCCTGACCCTTATTTAGCTAGATACCCTAAATCTTCCCTCTCGTTTCTCTATCTTCGTCTCAAAATCTCACCCCCTGTAAAGTCAAAATCCGGCCACCGGAGTTGGATACTCGCATTTTACACTCCCACCACCCCTCAACTGTACCCTTACATCACCCATCCAATCTGTACTCTTCTGTCTTCCTCTAATCCTACTATTGTCATCATATCCAACCAACCTAATTTGCACATTTCACCTATAGTTCCCAAATATGAAACTTGTAACCCAAATGGTTTTAGAAATCAAGAAAGAGAGAGTGGGACATGAAGAAGATAGGCGGCAAAGGAGGAAGGACAACAACATACTGTTGTTGGTGGTGGTGGTTTTATTCACCAATTTTATTCATCTGATCCAGTTGGTAATATGTGGAGAATATGTGGTTACATTCGAATCGACACCTGCGTTTCAAACCACCGTCTAGGGTTTAGACACAACTCCACTATCACCACCGTTCACAAATCGTCTCCTATGCGCCACCATCGCCATCGTCACCTGTACGCCGCCTATGGTGAAAACCCTAGATCTTATGTAGTGGTCTTCATTGAGAGAGATAGAGAGAGATGGAGAGAAAAATTATGAGAATGCAAATATCAGATCGGAAGAGAAGAAACAGAAGACGAGAGTGAAATAGAGATTGAGGTTGGAGTCGATTGCCTCTGTTTTAAACCGAAGATGTCTGGTGATGATGGATAACTGGATATGAGATGTATCAAAGAAGAAGAAGGGACCGGGGGGGGGGGACGAGTTATCAGATGTAATCGCCTTTTTCTTTTTTTAAAAGGAAATAATAATTATTTTTTATAATAAATAAATCAATAAATAATTAATAAATAACAAATAAATAGAAAATAAATCAAAAATAAAATAAATAAGTGCATAATAGTCTTTTTATGTGAGGAGGGATGAAGCGTGTTAGTTTTAAACTAACGAGGGACGGTCCGAGTTAATTTTTGAAAATAAGGACCAAACGTGCATTTTAGCATATGTACGAGGGACGATTCGTGTAATTTACTCTAATAATAAAGTCTTTTGGGTTACATACAAGGACACATTTTCTATTCAAAGATGATTGTGGGGTATTGTTTTGTTCTACAAAAAGGTGTTCTTACAGACACTCCACCCTAATAGTCTATTTTTTATTATTATTTAGCCTAGTCATTTGATTTGTTTTTGTCAATAATTTAACTTAATTACCACATTAACTTTATTATGTAATTATTGTATTATTATTACTAATTTTATTAATAACAAAAATATTAATTATTAGAAAGACTCAAGTTAAAAAATGTATTTCTTTAGATTAGTTTGTTTTGATGAAAAACTAAATTTGAGCAAAAAAAATTATTTAAATAAAATATTAAAATTTAAAATTTATCAAGAAAAACTTAAAAAAGTTGTGATTAAGTCAAATTAGGTAATTAGGTCAATATTAGAATGAAGTTTATTAGACTGGAGTGTAGTTATAAAAAGCCTCTACAAAAATACAATGTGGGACTTGTCTCACATAGGAGGAAGAGAAAAACATTTTCTTATCTTATAAGTTTTGTCCCACTCATTTAATCAAATGGACCAACTAATGAGTCAAACATCTTGGGTTTGGGCTGTGGTGTTGGCCTAGTCAACAATGGGCTAGTAGAAGGCTAGGATTTATTATATATTAATGGTCAAAGTTAGGGCATTGGGCCTTGGGGCTCTTCTTGGATAATTAATATATGTTTATTTTTATAAATCCGAAATTAATTTTAATTAATTAATTAATTTTTATTTAGTAAAATTCTGTTAATTAGAGACTTAACTGCTTGACAGTTTTTAGCACTTAATTTCGGTTGGTGGTTTACAACCACTATTGGAAGCCTATAAATACATGGAATCAGACAAAATTTGAAGGCTAATGAAACAGACACTTTCTATTAAAAATTTGTTCTTCATATCACAAGGGATCATGGTGATTTTCAACATATTCAAGATATGTTCTTGAATTGATGTTGTATCTTCAAGACCAACCATTATAGGGCAATTTTTGTCTTAGGAAACTGCATTCGCAAGCCTCAATCTACATATTTTTGTATTTATGATTCTATTGTAAACATCAACATTCAAGTATGTTTTTCGATTATGAATCTGTATATATAAATTTGATTTTATTTGTTTTGGAACATCCCGATTCCCAGGTATGAGGTTTGTTTCCTTAGGCATGTTTTTCCATTTGAACTCGGCGTGTTGGTAGCCTCAACACGGCGTGTTGAAGGACTTTTGGGTCGCGCATTTTTATGGACCAACTCGGCGAGTTGGTGATGGGGAACTCGACGTGTTGATGGCTGGGTGGGAAACCCTAAATTTTAGGGTTTTGCACCCTATATAATCTCCTTAAGTCCTTAAGGGTGATCTTTTATCACCTTTCAAAATCTCTATATTGGACCCTTGTGAACGCTATACTCATCATTCCCTCTCATATTTTGATCTAGTGTGTCATTTTTTGGAGCAAAAGAAGAAGGAAGTTGAAGAAGGAAGCAAGGATCTAGCAAGCAAAGCTCTCATCTTCAATTTGAATCTCCTCTAGACCTTTGTAGTGTCCAAGATCCGCATTTTATCTATCATGTAGCTAGATCTTGAGTTTTGTCGCTTTTTCTCCTTATGCTTGATGATGTTGCAATGGCTGTACCTCATAAAGTTTGCAACTTTATGAATCTCCAAGTCAAGATTACCTGTTTTTTTTTGGATTGGGACTCTGGCTTTAGTCAAGCTTTGATGCCCTACCATGGAGTTTAAGCCATATTTTCCTCTTTTTGACCCATTTTGGGTTCAAGACATGCATTGGACATGCATGTCTATAAATCACCAACCTTTGGGTCTATTTTGAGGCTAGGAACTCTTGTGGAAAGCTTGGTGAAATATCCCAAAAATACAAAAACCAATATTTTTTTTAAATCATTTATAATAAAACATAAGTCATCCATCATCATAAAGAAAACCATAAATCGTGTATCTCAAAACATCTCCAAAATTGTTGGATTAGATGTCTAAGCCCATAACTATTATTGGTATGTACTTGACCCGAGAGTAGCATGGTCCATTTGGGTTGCATATCATCAGGACAATTTGTTAGGATAGACTTTTGAGAGAAGGTTATTATGGTTTATTAATATATTATAAGTTATAATATATTAGTATGAAATCATATGTTTTAATTAGTATCGATCAAGAATTAATTTGGAATTAATTTAGTGATCAAAACGAGACTAATTAAATCTA